GGTTCTATCCCGGCAGCCCCGCTTCCCTTCCAGCTCCCTGCCTGTGGCCCGGGAAAGCAGTCGAAGACGGCCCAAAGCTTTGGGACCCTGCGCCGGCATGGGAGACCTGGAAGAGGCTCCTGGCTTCGGATCGGCATAGTATCGGCCCGTTGCGCTCACTTGGGGAGTGAATCATGGGATGGAAGATCTTCCTCTCTGTCTCTCCTCTCTGTATATCCACCTTTCCAATAAAAAAGAAAAAAAGAAAGAAAGAAATGACTGTAGAAAGAACCAGAAAGAAGAGACCAGTCACAGCCAAAAAAAGACTCCGTCAGAGGCCCTCCCTAACAAGGTCCAGACATCAGATACACCAGATAAAGATTAATGTTTTTCGAAATTTATTTGAAAGGCAGAGCAACAGAGAGAAAGATAGGCACGCAGAGACAGAGCAAAGGAACAGTTTACTGGTTCACTCCCCTAATACCTGCAACAACCAGAATTCAGTCAGGCCAAAGTCAAGAGCCCAGTCATCCAGATTACCCCCATGGGTGGCAGGGGCCCAACCACTTAATGATACCCTCTTCTGCTTCCCAGGGTGCACATGAGCACAAAACTGAATTGAAACTGAGGCAGAACTCAAATCCAGACAGGTGTCCCAAGCAGTAACTTAACCCACTGCCCCACAATGCCCACCCCCAGATGAAGACTTAACCTTAATGATGTTAAATTTGCTCCAAGAATGGAAGGAAACCATGGGCAAAGAACCAAAAGATGGCTGGAAAAGGTACAGGAACAAAATGAGCATCAATGGTACAGAAATGATTCTTTAAAACAGAAAAAGAACAAAAGAACATTCTGGACTCACAAATGCCATAACTGAAACCAGACATTCATTTGAGGAGTTCAGCAGCAGATTTAGCAGCACGAGAAACGATCAAGACACCTGAAGGTAAGACCATAAGCATCATTGACCCTGAGAAGAAGATAGGAAACAGAAGAAAAATAAGCATCTGAAAGATACCACCAAAGTAGCCCCATTGTAAGAGTTTTCAAAAGAGGAGAGAAAAATGAGGAGAAAAAAATTTTAGCAAATTTTGAACATCCAAGTACTAACCAGGTGTGACCCTGCTTAGCTTCCGAGATCAGACAAGATCAGGCACACTCAGGGTGGTATAGCTGTAGACATGTTATGAAGACACAATGCAACATGTACCCCTACTTCCAAATCACAGATGGACTCCCAATGAAACTGATGGAAATATTTAGACAATGGGATGATGGACTGTCTGACATTGTCTGTATCTTGTCTGATCTCAAAAGCTAAGCAGGATCAGACCTGATTAGTACTTGAATGGGAGGTCAAAATTTGGGGCATGCTTAAATAACAGACTGATGGAATTATAACTCCTTATGAAGGACTGTACTATTGTAACAATATGGTGAAATCAGTCGGGGGGTTGGAATTTGCGGGTTGGGTTTAATCCCAGACTCTACAGAGTTGTATCATAACATTAAAAACTAAAAATTTTAATTTTAAAAAGTGAATGAAAATTTAAATATATATATATATTTGTTTTATATATATTTATATTTATATTTATTCCAAATCTGATGAACAGCATGAGCTCAACAACTACAAACAGGATAAACTTGAAATGATGTGCACTGAAAACCCCTTATTGTCAAATTGCCAAAACCCAAAAATCAAACAGAAAATTTTGAAAACAGTAAGAGAAGTGATTCAGGGCTGACGTCATGGCATAGCATGATAAGCCTCCTCTTGTGGTACCAGTATCCCATATGGACACTGCTTCCTGTCGTAGCTGTTCCACTTTTAATCCAGTTCCTTGCTTATAGCGAAAGCAGTAAGGTATGGTTCAGGTCCTTAGGCCCTTATACCCATGTGGGAGACCTGGAGGAAGCTCCTGGCTCCTGGCTTCCAACCAGCCCAGCTCTGGGCATGAGGCCATTTGGGGGAAAAAATCTTTCTCTCTCTCTCTCATTTTCCTTCTCTCTTTGTAACTCAGAAAAAAAAAAAATCAGAGAGAAGAAAAAGTACCTCATTATATTCAAGAGATTCTCAAAAAGGTTAGCAGCTGGAGTGAGCACTATGGCACAGTGTGTTAAGCCACTTGGACATCCATTATCCCATATTGGAGTGTCAGTTTGAGTTCAAGCTGCTCTATTTCATTCCTGTCTCTTGATGATGTGTCTAGGGAGAAGTGAGTAATGGCAAGCATTTGAGTTGCTGTCACCCATGCTGGAGACCAGGGTGGATTTCCCAGCTCCTGGCTTTAGCCTGGTCCAGCCCTGGCTGCTACATGCATTTGAAGAGTAAATCAGCAAATGGGGAGGCAGGGGGCTGGCACGGCAGCTCAATACGCTAATTATCTACCTGCTAGTCCCTGCATCCCATAAGGGTGCCAGTTCTGGCTTCAGACCAGCTCAGCCATGGCCACTGCAGCCATTTGGGAAGTGAAACAGTGGATTGAAAACCTCTCTTTGTGTCTCTCCTGTGTCTCCTTCTCTCTCTATAAAATTTGCCTTTCAAATAAAAATAAATACATCTTTTTTAAAAATCAGAATAGATGGAAGATCTTTTTTTATTTTTCTTTTAGCCTTTTAATTAAAATTAAAATAAGTTTAAAAATTTAAAAAATTAGTTATTACTATTATTGAAAAGGCAGATTTACAGAGAGAAGGAGAGACAGAGAGGCAGATGTTCCATCAACTGATTCACTCCCCAAATGGCTGCAATGGTCGGAGCTGAGTTGATCCAAAGCCAGGTCCAGGAGCTTTGAGCCATCATCCACTGCTCTCCCCCAAGCCATAAGCAGGGGGATTTGTCATTAAGTGGAGTAGCTGGGACACAAAAGGGCATTCATACAGGATGCTGGCATGGCAAGATGAAGGATTAGCTAGTTGAGCTATCATGCCAGCCAGCCCCATAAGTGAAAAATGTTTAAAAGGGTTTATAAGCATAAATAAAATGACAACTCACAGCTACACAAACTAGATGTTGTCCAGTAATTCCAAATCTTAAAGAGGAGGAAACAAGTGATGAAGAAAGAGGAAGAGGAGGAAAAGGAGGAGAATAAGATTAAGAAAAAGAAGAAGGAAGAGATGGAGAAGAAGAGGAAATCACAAGAGAAATCAACAAACTCCTTCAGAGGTGGGTATTTGGCTGAGTGATTTAAGTCACAGCCACCTCAGACAACCTGAGTCAAGCCATGATCCATCTGCTTCTGATCTAGGTCCCTTGGAGATGGCAGGGGATGGCTGAAATACTTGGGTTCCTGCCACCCATGTGGGAGACCTGCCTGGAATTCTGGGATCCAGTCCTGGCTATTGTGGGCATTTGCGACACAGACAGAATCAAAATCTCTCTCTTGTTTGCTCTCTCCCTGTCTCTCATTCTCCTGCCTCTGTCTTTCAAGTAAAATTTATTTTGAAAACATTTTTAAGAGAAACAAATTACCTCCAGGCAAGTGAAAACAAAAGCATAGTTATAACAAAATGTACAAGATTCAGCAAAAGCAGTACTAAAGGGAAAGGTTGTGGTTGGAAATCTCTACAGTGAAGAAGACCTCAACTCAATACCCTGTATGTACAGTGTAAAGAACTAGAAAAGTCCAAGAGAGTAGAAAGAAAGAAATAAAAACTAAAGCACAGGTATGTGAAATCAAAAATAGGAAAACAGAAGAGAAAAATCAACATAATCAGAATGTGGCTCTTTAAAAACACTGATAAACCTTTAGCCTTCCCTGCTTGTGGCCTGGGAAAGCAGTTGAGCACAGCCTAAAGCCTTGGGATCCTGCACTTGTGTGGGAGACCCAGAGGAGGCTCTGAGCTTCTGGCTTCAGATTGGCACAGCTCCAGCCGTTGTGGCCGCTTGGGTAATAAATCATTGGACAGAAGATCTTCCTCTCTGTCTCTTCTTCTCTCTGTATATCTCACTTTGCAATAAAAATAAACAAATCTCTTAAAATCATGAAATAGTACTATAAATAACTGTACACCAAATTAAATAACCAATATGAAATGAATACATTTCAAATATTTAACTATCAGAACTTACTGAAGACAACAGAGAAAATCTGAACAAATCCATATGTAAGGGGACTAAATCAGTGATATCACTGCAACAGAGAAAGGCTCAGGATCAGATGGCTTCACTGGTGAATTCTGCCCTACATCTAAAGGAGAATTTACACATATCCTTCTCAAACTTTTTCAAAACTGAAGTGGAGCTAACACTCCCTGACCCATCCCAAAACTCTCCTGATCACAAAGACAAACACACCACAGGAAGACATCATAGCCCACTATCCCTTACAAATAGATACAAAAATCTTCAACAAAATATTAGAAAATGAATGCAGTACCATACTAAAATAACTGCATATCATGACCACACAGGATGTATTCCCGGAATGCGACAGCAAGTCTAACATGCCGAAATCAGTGTGATACAGGGTAACAGAATGAAGGGGAAATATCATACAACTATCTCAATCAGTGCAGAAAAAAACACCTGACAAAATCCAGTCCCTTTTCACTCAGGAACAGAAGGGAGCTTTCCCAACATAAAATGGGCCACATATGAAAACCTTACTGCTAACCTCATACTCGACTGGGGAAGAGTGATGCTTCTGCAACATCAGAAACCAAAGATGCAGATCCTTGCACATCACGTTGCTAATAAATGTCTACTACCCTGAAATGTCTACTACTACTACCTCCTATAATCCAAGCATCAGATTTTTCTGGAAGGAAAGAAAAAGTATGACACCTGAAATATAAGGAAGGCACAATCACAGGGCTCCAGGGGAGAGGCCAGGAAGCCTGCCCCTCAAGGCAGGGTCTGCAGGATAGGACCCGGCAGTGGAGAAAAGAATGGGTCTTGACTTCAGGAAGGCGGGGGGGGGGGGGGGGGGGGGGGGCAGAGGAAGAAAGTGAAAGCGTTGGAACGCATAAATAGGCAGCAGGCCAGACCCAGCCCTCACACAACCCCCCAGCGTGCAGCTGTGCACCTCAGCCACAGTTCAAACTCACATCCAGCTGCTGTCTCAGCCATGGCACAGCCGCTGGCTCTGGGTCTCCTTTTTCTGGTGCTAGCACTCTGCATCCCCCAGATCCAAGGTACCCAGGATGGAGGAACAGCTTTGGGGTGGGGCGAGGGGCTGGAGCGCCCAGACAGGCACCTACAGACAGCCCCTGTATCCCTGTGAATCCCACCCCACAGGCAGTGACGGAGGGGCCCAGGACTGCTGCCTCAAATACAGCCAAAGGAAGATTCCCCACAAGATGGTCCGCGGCTATCGGAAGCAGGAGCCAAGCATAGGCTGCGCCATCTCAGCGATCTTGTGAGTGGGCACAAGGCGGAGGGTGCAGGCTGGCAGCTGGGCAGAGGGTGTGGGGTGGGGGTGAGACTTAGTGGGCAAGAAAAGAGTCTCCTAATCCCATCTCCCAGGTTCTTACCGCGGAAGCGTTCTCAGCCGGAGCTCTGTGCAGACCCTAAGGATCCCTGGGTGCAGCAGCTGATGAAGCGTCTGGATAACCCGACAGCCCCACAAAAGCGAGCCCAAGCCTGCAACAAGGATGGGGGCGCCTCCAAGCTTGGCAAGAAGGGGAAAGGCTCCAAAGGCTGCAAGAAGTGAGGAGATGGCAGGAATTGGGGGGAAATAGGGGGGAGTGCCTTCATGAGTGATTCACACCCTTCCTCTACCTCCCCAGGACCCAGCAGCTGCAGACCCCAAAAGGGCCATAGCCCCGTGTCCAGCCTGGAGCCTGGGAGGCCCCATCAGCCCCACTGCAGCTAGAAATCCCAAAGCAACTGGCAAGAAGTGGGCTAGCAGAGGGATTGGTCTGGGGGAAGGGGGGGGGGTACCCAGAGGAGCCAGCCCACACCAGCTTTGCAACTCCCCTTCTGCCTCCACGGTTCCTTCTGCCTGCTCAGCCCTGTCGTGCCCGGCCCAGGCCCAGACCCCCGACAGACAGAGGAGAGACCATCTCCTAGGGAAGTGTGTGAGGAGGCAGCAGGACTGTCACCTCTGAAAGGTCACCCTGGTCTGATGCTGCTCCCCACTTGCTGTACCCCACTTCTTCCATGTAAATGTGACATATGCCTAACGGAATAAAGAGCTGTGCTGGTCTCCCCACCAGAGCACCTATTCTGGTGTGTTTGTGTCTGTATGAAAACTAAAGTCACCCACTTCACAGTAGGCTCACCCCCCACGGCAGCAGGATGGAGCAGTCCCAGCCCAGGAGGCTCCTGGCAAAGTCTGCGTTTCTACCTACACCAAAAGTCCCCCTGCCTCTGTGTACCAAGACTCCTGGGAAGTGGAGGAGGGACTGACAGCCCTGTGGACACCATCCTGTGAAGGGACAGAGCCTGAAGAGACCCCAACCCTGGTTCTGCCCACCCCCCTCACTGCAGAAGTGAACCCTTCAGCTTGGCCCACATCTACCAAGTGGCAGCCTCCTCCTTGCCTTGGGCTCCTATGCCCTGGTCCCCAGGAGGGAAGCTGTGGCATCGGCCCATGAGGGACATGGGCAAACTCAGGGCCATTGAAATCCATGCTGGACACATTCGTGACCCTGGAGAGCCATCCCTCAGACCTAAGAGGACTCCCACCTGCCCTGCTCAGTGAACCTGGGGCCCCAACCCCTCCCCTTCATCTCACAGGACCATGGCAGTCTCCTTCTGCTCCAATCTGGGCCCCTTCTCTCCCTCAGCTCCTGTCCAATTGGAAAAACCAAACCTTTATTTTAGCCTTTTGTGTTCTTCTTCCTCCCCTAGTTGAGGCTAGTCTGGCTTCTGTACACCCATCACCTCCCAAGCAGGAAAACAGAGAGCCATATGGGGCAGGGGTCAGACAACAGGTTCTGGAGGCGGAGGGAAGGCAGGGACCTAAAAAGCCAGATGTGGCCATCCCACCACCTCTTACCATTTACATAAAACCATTAAAAAGTTTGTGCTTTTTGCTCCTCTTGAAGCTGGTAATGACAGGGTCTCCTCCCCACCTGCCCTTGTGCAACAGCTGTGAGCTTAGCCTACACCCTCACATATGCTACGAGTTACCTTTTGCAAGGTGCTTTACATGAACTGAATTCCAGTTCCAAGCCCTTGCATCTGCCAAGAGTTGTGCAAAATGTCACAGAAGACCCATGGTGGGCCTCCCACCTGCGCTACACACCAGCCCTTCATTGAACTCTCTCACAGGTTCATGCTCTGATCCTTGTGGTCACATCTGTCTCCTCAGCTAGCCCACCTTCAAACCCCTCAGCCCTGTACCACACTCAAGACATGGGAATTCAGTCATGAGGCCCTCTGGCATGGACCTGGCTTCTCAAGACATCCCCCTCTGTGTCCTGTGGCTGGCTCTTTCACAGCCCACAGCCCTCGCTGGCTGGACCCACACCCACACACACACCACAAAGAGTCCCCTGCACATTCGCCTCGTATCCACAGCCCCTCCAGGACGGACATCATACTGACTCCACACTTTTATAAAACAGCCTGTCAAGTGAAATAAGCCAGGCACAGAGAGATAAATCCCAAATGTTCTCACTGCTATGTGGATGCTAAAAATAAATAAATAAATAAGAAGGATCACATGGAACTGAAGGCCAGGAAGGAGTGAGGGAGTGGAAATGGAGAGAAGGGAGACAGGGAGACAATGCTACAAGTTCCAGAGAGTTCTAACATGTTGGTAAGATCACAGTTTCCAACAACTTTTTAGTATACATTTCAAAATAACCACAGGAGAGTTGCTCAAAGTTCCCCAGCATAAGAAATGATTTGAGGAGCTGGAAATGCTGAGTACCCTGATTTATCAAGTTTGAATCATAAATATGGACAATCATTACATCAATTTCATTTTTTTAACTTTAAAAATAAAAAAAGGTTTATGAAGGACTATACTATTGTTATCATATGGGGGAAACCAGCTGGGGAGAGGGAACTTGGAGAGGAGGTAAGGGAAATCCCAGAGCCTATGACATTGTATCATAAAATTAAAAATAAAATTGAGGGGGAGAAAAAGCAATCTCAAAGTTGAACAAACAGAAACAAAAACCTTTCCCTGTGAAAAGCCAGCAGAGAGGGCAAAAGCTCCTGTTCTACCAGGTCTTGCAGCCACTGCTGCCCGCCAGGTGCACCGCTGCCCACCAGGCGCACCGCTGCCCGCCAGGCGTTTGGCCCAGCCCTGCTGAGTGGACCTGCGGGGGGCTGTCCCCATCCTTCAGAGAAGGAGCAGACACTCCATCACGGCCTTCAGCCCCAACAGAAAGCTCACGCTCTTTGTTCTTTCTGTGAGAGCACACTTCAAAAGGAAGAGAACAATTACACAATTTTTTTAAGGATCAAAAAAAAAACCAGGAGGCTTCTTCTGAGCAATGCCATGTCCAACGGCTTTTACTTTTGAAACTATTGCTTCTAGGAGATAGTATGTCAGACATGTAAATATTTGGTTTATGTCTCTGTTTCTTTATGTATCTAGTTTAAACACTGCCAATTTACTTCCTACAGTAAAAAGTAAAGATCTAGCTTTCTTTTTTTTAAGACTGATTTATTTTTATCTGATAGGTAGCATTACAGAGAGAGAAGGAGACACAGAGAGAGAGATCTTCCATCTGCTGGTTCACTCCCCAAATGGTTGCAACAACCAGAACAGAGCCAATCTGAGGCTAGGAGTAAAAAGCTTCCTCATGGTCTCCCACTTGGGTGCAGAGGCCCAAGGACCATCCTCTATTGCTTTCTTTGGCCATAGGCAGGAAGCTGTATCGAAAGTGGAGCAACCAGGACTAGAACTGGAATTCATATGGAATGTCAACAATGCAAGCAAAGGGTTAGCCTGATAAGCCACCATGTCAGCCCCAAGACTCATCTTTCTTGCTAAACCTCTTTTCCTATCAATCCATCCTATAAATACCAGCATAACACTACATTTAGATCATGAGCACCTGGCACAGTTAGGATTCTGTAAACATTCATTGCAGAGCAAAGTACTGTTAATACCATACTTGCTTTTCCTATATCATTCTGCCTTTTTTTTTTTTTTTAAGATTCTAGGGGCAGACATCAGTCCAGTGGTTAAGACAACCAAGTCCAAGTATCAGGGTACTTAATACCTGGCTCTTCTGACTTGAGCGTCCTAATCATTGAAACCTAATCATTGAGCCAGCAGTGGTGCTGGCTCAAGTGACTGAATTCCTGCCACCCATGGAAGATCTGGGCTGAGTTCCAAGCTCTCAACTTAAGTTTGCTCCAATCCTGGTTATGAATCTCTCTCTCTCTCTCTCTCTCTCTCTCTCTCACAAACACACACACACACACACACACAAACAAACACCTTCCCACCTGTGTATGGAGAGGGGGGAGTGCATCTCCTTCCTTATCTCTCAAATAAATTTTATAAAAATTCTTGGAGAATCAAGATGCCACAATAGGGTAAGGACACATTTAAACAAACAGAGAAATATTAGTGTGAAGCAGAGAGGGCACATTCCAGAAAATAGGAGAGAGGACAGAACAACAGCAGAGGGGGACCTGGAGACTGAACAGACACAGGAAAGCAGCAAACACAACAATGTGGTATTGCAGTGACTGATACCCCAGACGCATTCAGCAAGCGACGATTCAAATTGCAGTGGCAGCCGGAACTCCACCAGCAACCAGGTGGGAGGAACTTTCACTGGGAGCTCAGGAGGTGAACCCAGACAAAGAACTGCCCACCCTGCTGGTCTGTTTGATTTGAACAGGAGCAGAGACAGAGCAGCAGATCCCAGACTGGTAGCACAGGAACAGGGTTGATTTCACAACCCAGTCCACCCCCTAGAGCCATGTCAGGCACCATTTTGTTTAAGGAGGCAAAGGCTATGGACAGGACTGCGCATGCACTGAGCTGGGAGTGAACTCATTTCTGGCTCAGTGAACTACAACGATGTGGCATCCTACAGGTTCCACCCAAGACAAGTCTGGGTAGCCCTCAGACCTGATGGCCAGCAGATCAAGAACTGTAGCAATGGCACATCAGGCACCTTTTGTACACTGTGGCAAAGACTTTAACACTGCAAAGACAACAGGGAGCTGTGCAAGTGCTGAGCTCGGCAAGAACTTACTGAACTCAGCGCATTGCACTTGTCTCACAATAAAACAATACCGACTATGGCATCATACGAGTCAAAATAGGTCCCTACGGCCCTCAGACCTAATGGCCAATAGGTTCCAGCAAGGTCAGCACCACCAACCAACAACCTAGCTATATAGGACACCTGGTCCTGGGACCTGCTCCAACCAGAAGTGGGAGAAAGGTTGTACAGACAATGGTGCAGCCTCTGCAAGGTATCACAGGAGGTGGAGACTGGTGAGCCAGGAGCTGGAGCTATGGAGACCATGGTGGAAACTTATCATAAGAACCCAGACCTGGAACTCGCTGGAGGTTGTGGCACAACTGACTGCAAACAAAGAGCCGTGTACCAACTGCAATAAGTAAAATTGAACTGTAGACCTTTGGGTGACACAGTTTAGAAACCTGCCCTAAGGAGAAGAAAATGATAACCAGAAGTACAATGACAAAGAGCAAAAGAAGAGACAAAGGCACAATGAATATTACTGAAAACTCCCCTGCAAAGGAGCAAAACTCTATGCCAACCTCAGAGTTAACTGAGGAAGACATCGAGAAAATGGGGGATACAGAATTCAGAAAACTCGTTATAAAGCTTCTTATCAACAATGAGAAGCATGTAAAGCAGACATTCAAGGAACATGTCACAATGGAAATGAATCAAATGAAAGCTGATATATCAGAAGTGAAGAATACAGTGGAGCAAACTAAAAGTACAGGGGAGAGTCTCCAAAATAGAATGAAGCAAACAGAAGAAAGATCTCAGAATTGGAAGATACTTCCTGTCACCAGAGGGAAACAAACAAAAAGCTGGAAGCAGAGCTGGATCAGGCTAAAAAAGTATTCAATAATTGAAAGACACTACTAAAAGGCCAAATATAAGAGTTATGGGAGTCCCAGAAGGTGCAGAAAGAGAAGCTGGGTTTCCAAATATATTTCATGAAATAACAAGGGAAAATTGCCTTAATCTAGAGAAAGAATTGGTAAACAAC